TATAATATATATATATATATATATATATATTTGGGGCATTAGTCTGTCTGTACAATACAAAAGACTCGTAGATATATATATGTATATATCCATATGTATATAAATCGTGACTTGTGATCTCCTTACTCTTCTCTCCGCAATCAAGACTCGGCTTTCTTCTGACCCACACGTATACCTCATAGTGCCGCAGCCGGGAATATGGGAATAACCATAGCAGTCAATCTTTTTTTTGGGTGTTGCATATCACTAAAAAGAAATGTACATATTAGGTCAATCCAAGTGATTATGGAGCATGGCTGACCCCCCAAAGAGGAAGTGACACCAACACAGCGACTCCCATCGGAAATGAAGGATCTGGTATCGTGGTAGCAGGGAATGGTCTTTATGCAAGCCGTCAAATCGGCAAGAAGGTCGGCGTAGTCGCTGTGGTATGTTGGAACTAACTGTCTTTTGCACCTCACTGACAGAATGTTTGTTTTGGCGTTGGCCTATTCGTAACGAAAATTGGATATACTTTCGCTACGACAGGGTGGTGGCGGTACATACGCCGAGTACGTTGCAGTGGATGCAACTAAGGGTGCCTGGCCAATGCCCGATGATCTTGCGATTGAGGATGCCGCCAGTTTCTTTGTGTAAGTTTTCTCATCGTTTATTAAGTAATGGGATTAATATGAGGACTCCACTGTTGAAATTAAAATTCTCGCGTGTTTTGATATTGTGCTTCATGTACACGGCTGCTAAATAGTGCTCGTGCTTCTCCTACAGCAACCCGTATACCGCGGTAGGAATTGTCGATACCGTTAAGGAATACTGCAAATTCCATGGCAAGAAAGCCTCATTCATCCACACAGCAGCCGCCAGTCAGCTTGGTCAGATGGTAAGTTCCATTTTTTATTGCTTCAGTCCGCGATATGTTTGCCGAGCATACTATTTTGAAAGTAATTCTCTAAATTATGATGCACAATTCCTAGTCGATTGGAGCAGAGACTGTCAGATCATCGTATATAAATAATTCTAATTGCCAGATGTTGCGTATACCCGTTTTAGATTATCAAGCTGGTCGGCGACGATCCAGAAATAACTCTTGTGAATATAGTTCGAAGAGAGGACCAGAAGAAAATTTTGACTGAATTAGGTGCGGCGCACGTGATTGTCACCGATGACAAAGATTGGAAGGAACAATTGAAAAATAAGATCAAACAGTTAGACATAACCGTTGCTTTCGATGCCGTCGCCGGTGATAACACCGGACTTCTCCTAAGCATGTTGCCGAACAAGGTGCGGTTGCTATTGACTTTTTATTTTTCTTTTATCGAACTCACGATGATTTCAGGCTTCAATTAAATTGAATCTTATTCATTCGCCAATTTTCTGATTGTTTTCCACACTTAGGGCCACTGCTTCGTGTACGGTGGATTGAGTGGCAAACCGGTAGCTGGTATCAACCCCTTGGATCTGATCTACAGAAGTAAGCATTTGCACGGTTTCCTGCTGAACAGGTGGATCTCTGAAGGTGGAGCGCCATCCGCAACTACCAACACCGTATCATTGTTGATGCGTACGCGCGCAGCTAGTGCCAAGGTTAACCCTGGACTTAAACACGGCGGTTGGGCAAGTTCCACCTTTACCAATATTGCTCTGGAAGACGTGCACAAGGAGTTCTTGGACACGAAGGAGAATGGCGCTACGGGCAAGAAACTGCGCATCATGTTCCCAACGACTGCGGAGTAGGCGCCCACTGAATCTACTCAAGATCACTGGTAGTACATACGGAATCTATAGCAATGTGCTTTGCCGCAGGCATTGATCCTAGCGGTGACGTAGTATATACTATGCTGTACTTCTAACTTATGACGGACAGAGGTTTCGTGCTATTTCTCGAATTCAACTTTATATAAAGAAAAATAAACAAGCTACCCGTAAGATTGGTGTTGAACCCTTTTTTAAAATTTACACACGTGGAAGTTTACAAGCCTTGCACTCAAGATAATCTATAAGCCGTGACAATAGGTGCAGCTGCAAACTGGTTTGTAGAATGTTCTGTGTAATTAATGTGCTTAAAGTTCGTCCTCGAAAACACTGATGTTGCAGACTGTTGTGCTCTACATATTGACAAATGAGGCTACTATATTATCTAACAGGCTTCAATACGTTCGGGCTATGGCGTATACTACCATAGCCTTCTGTATATTGTGTAATTTTCAGAAGGCTATGATATTACGTACGGAAAGGTAGTACTTAGTATATTTACATTAACGCAATTTGAAATCGTGTTTACGCTTAACGGATTGAAGCCTATTTCATATTGGGATTATCGGTACCCTATATGTATATTTATTGGCAGTTCGGCACAATCTATTTTTGTTTGTTCTATCTGAATTGCTATTTTGTCATCATTCAGATCGTGCACGAAGTTTGCCAATTGTATTCTCACGCTACGTATACTATGGCGGTAGCATAGTGATTCACTTCTATCACATAGATAAGATTTGGAAACGGTATCTACTGTCAAAGACATCTATGAGGCATTTCAAGAGTCTGAGTCACTTACAGTTATGCGGAGCTACTTCTTCGTATAGGCTATCGAAACACCTGCTGGGCTAGAGGGGCCAGGTGTGTCAGCACACGCCGCCATTGGAAGTATTAAATGTGCAAGAGGTGCCGGGTGTTGTCACAGCTTCAGTAGGTGTTACAGATATAATAATCCGTTCCACAGGTGAGAGAACCCGCAGCTCCAGGACCTTGTGAATGTATTCACACTCCATCCGTCATGATGTTTCAAGCAATTAGCTTAGTGACCTTTGCGCCAGTCGGTGCATCTACCCGGGAGCATACACCGGTGGTAATTGTAGGTGTTAAGATTTACTGGGCACATTCTGCATCCATGAAAACCGTAAGCGTGTAGAAAGTATTTTCATTCTTGACGAGTGTTGTCCAGTTGCTTCGGATGATAGTGAGATTTGAATAAACATGAGATTTGCTAGCACGCCAACAAGTATGGAAGTCCATTTAAAATGAACATTGCATATCATTGTTGTGGTATTTGGGACAATAGCATGGATGTCCCTATAAGTTGTATAAATAAGGATGCATTATTAGACATAAAAATATCAAGATTTTGACAATGGAGTTCGAAACTTCGAGGCCAATATATACTTGCTAGCCACTAGTGGACGAGATACCTATCAAGATTAGAACAGAGATTAAGCATGATCAATTTTTCGTTGAGAGTTCGGTGTACAGGTCTGGCATGTCCAGATATTGTGATTGAAAGAAATTTTGTTATCTGTATATCCGTGGCGAGTTCGGTGTACAGGACTAATATGGTCAGGTATTGTGATTGAAAGAACAGTGTTTATCTGTATATATACTACAGACAACTGGGCTGAGGTATTTTGTGCTTCGTACCAAGCCGAATTACGATACTTCCGATTTTTCGCAACGGTGGCTCCCATGTTCGCACAATCTATCACTCCCGTGTGTACGTCTGATGACGTCTTCACGAACGCACGTGACTCACCGATTACTACGTATCCCTACAAACTATCAACAATGGGTTTTGCTGTCTATTAAAATTCTAAAACGTGTCTGTATTTCAGGTTCCCTACATATGTGTATATGTACACGAGTACTTGCTACATGAAGTATGGTTTCAAAGCATCTATGCAAGAGACCTGAAAGCAGTTTCTTCATGATGTATGTAAATATTTTCTATTTCGTATTTACTATTTACATTGTATTAAATTTATTTTGGTACCAGTATCGCATATCGGGGGGGGGGTACATACATACGAATCAGAAGCTGGCGAAAAGGCCGCCAGGGGCCAGCCGCCAGGGGTAGGGCAAAATCACAAGAAATTGAAGATAGAGCCGGTTACCGGTACAATGTACTCTTGAACAGTTGTACCAATATTTTCACAGTTCGGTATCAAAACTTCATAGCCTCCTAAAATAATATTTTAGGAGGGTGCGTAAATTTGAGTTAGTGGGCGAGCCATAGAGGGCATGTTCTGTGTATTTATTTATATGCCTGTTGCTTGCATTTTGTCAATCACACATCGTCCGCTGTTGAAGATGGAGTCTATCTATAATGTTTTCGCGGGGCTGAATGTATATGTCCAGATATTATTGTTCCTTATAGGGTGTATTATGGTTAGCTCGGTTCTAAAGTACGCCCGTAGACCTGGATTCGATGTGGATAATAAACACGTGCTCATAACCGGTGGCAGTGAGGGGCTAGGACTAGCCTTTGCGCGCGTCTGCTTAAAATTAGGTGCCAATGTTACGATAGTTTCGCGATCTAAGGTATATAAGCAATTAACATAGAGAAACCAGAGATTCAATTGTCAATGTAGCGCTAATATATCACTCAAGGCTCTATTCTACTACGGGGGTGTGCAGTATGTCCAATTTGCAATAGTTATCGGTAGACCGAAAGCTGAATGCTCACTGCTATACTTCATAAGCAATATCTTCCGGTATTCTTCACTGCTAAAAAACTCTTTCGATACACACAGGCTATTATGATATTATTCATTAAGTGCATCATCACAGGCTTAGCTTTTCGTCAGTGTTGGTTCTTCAGAGTTGGATTGTTTCATTTCAAGATGCGTACACGCACAGAACGACGCAAACAGTTCTACGAAATTTTTATTACATTATCAATGCTACATAATATCTGCTATCGTGTGTTCTCGACAGGCGTGTACTAGCATATTCTAGGACCTGACTTCGTTGTGTTACATAGTCCTCCGCTTTCCTTATGCACGAACGAATTTCTCTATATACATACAAACTATTAGCACCTCCACACAAAGTAATCGTGAATATATGCCAGGTGTTTATTTCACGTCATCGTTTTATTTTTATTTTCTGACGCTCTATATGAACATTTTTCAGGAGAGTTTGTCCCTTAATGCTTCGTTTGACTGTTGTGTCGTACTCTCATATATGTTGCCATGACTGTGCATACTTGTGCATGTGCATGTGCAAGTGCAAGTGCAAAAGTATAGGCCGAGTATCACTTATTGCAATGTTTTTGTTTCACATATGGGTAAATAGCGGTGTTTAGATTTATTGATTCAGGCGCATGTCCTAAATGTTCTGTGAAGTTCAGAAGGGTTTGTAGACACCATGTAGATTGCTTTAATCTGCTATATCAACCTCTATCTCCACTTTGTCCTGCAGGACAAACTTGCGACTGCCGTGCAAGAGTTGTCGGCTGACAAGAAGGCTGATCGTAAGCTGTTCTCATATTCGTGCGATGTCACCAACTTCGAGGATGTGCAGAAGATGATTGCCGCTTGCAATGAAGAAATGGTGCGTTTATTTATCATTTTCAGTGTCTTGGGTGCGATAGGGCGACCGACCCGAGATTCACTCGAAATATTAGATATCAAGCAACTAAGGTCTTATTTTTGCAACAAATTTCTCATCACACAGAACCGCACAACTGACGTGGTGGTGGTCTCCGCAGGCATGGCCACGCCCGGTCTCTTCCTGGAACAAAACATGAGTGTGTTCCACAAGCTAATGGATGTCAACTATTTCGGCGCCGTTCATGTTGCTAAGGCGTGCATGCCACCCATGATTGCGAACGGTGTGAAGGGCAGGATATCCTTCGTTAGTAGCGCCGCTGCTCTAACACCTTTTGTCGGTTTCACACAGGTTAGTCGCGTAGATGATTTTGGAGATACTACCTGTGAAACTTGTTAAATATTTGTTCCTTGGTACATTGCAGAGCCTCTGCGAGCGAAAAAGCCTCGGTTTATTCCCAACTTGCCGTAGTACGATTCACATGAAGAATATGTTTTGCTCTTAATAGATTTCTCTCACTCATACATCACAGTACTGTGGAAGCAAATCAGCGCTCAGGGGATTTGCTGATGCTTTGCGGTGTGAGGCGGGAAGCCAGGGTATTGATGTGAGTGTCATGTTCCCGTCAAATATTGACACCCCCGGCTTCGTTGAGGAGCAGAAGACAAAGCCCGAACCAACAAAAACAATCGAAGCCCTGGTGAGTTTTATCGTAAACGTGTCTTCCGTAGTTGGCTGTAGAGAACTAAAGTTGCTGCATCTGTAACTTGTGACTGTTAGTCGATGCGAGGATCAATTCTGCACCAATTTGCGAGTCAATTGCTGTATCTCACATGCTATTGGATACTATATTACTCACCGCCATCGTCACATGTATTGGATGGAATGCAGGGCGGTTTAGTATCACCGGAAGAGGTTGCAGAATACTTACTAGATGGACTGAAGAATGGTCACTATCAGATCACCAATGAGCTATTCCTAGAGCTCTCCAGGATACAGAGTAACGGTCTCAACCCACGCAACAGCCTCGTGACAGAGATGCTGTGGTATCCCATTGTCTGTAAGTAAACAATTTCTCTTCGTCTCTAATCATTGGGTCCTCGTCATAATAAATACATACACCAGGCTGCCTTGCCGAATTACTGTGCGCTTAGGGTACACTCCTTGAAACTTTGATTATTCTAAGAATGATACTAACCCACTCTACTTCTTCATCTTGCAGTTTGGGTCGGGACTTTCTTCACGATGTACACCGACTATGTGACATATTCATACTTCAAGACCACCAAGCAGTCTAAGAAAGATAGCTAAGCCCATACGATATAAATATCAAGGAATGAAAGACGGTAAGACAATCTGGGTCGCAAAGTTTTGAGGGCATTTTTATCCCAAAACCAATCCGTAGAACGGTTGATCCGGCGGGAATTGAGGAATTGAGGAATTGAGGAAATAGGAGATTGTGTATTTGGTCGTGCAGGCCTCTTACAACATACCGTGCCTACAACACCACCGATACCGTAGGTTGCCATCCACAATGACAATCGATTCTAAAATACATCTGTGCAAATGTGCCAAAAAAACATTTTGATACCCAGCAAGAAGCGCGTTATTTGAATACTTATTCTAGATTTATTTACCCTTCACGATCGCGGCGAGCACGGTCTATCTGCACTCTGGCTTCCGCGCGTTTCTTCAACTCTTCTTCTCTGAGTGTATCGTCCTTGTGCACCGGTATAAGACCAGCCGCGACTTGTCTCCACATACCCTCTGATAAATGGTTGAATTGCTGGCAAGCAATTCTCTGCATGGTTTTAGAAATAGGACATGTTAATGTATATATATATATATATATATATATACATATATATAATAAACAAATGATTGAATTGCTGGCCAGCAATTCTCTGTATAGTATTAAAAATAGAACACACACACACATATATATAATGCATGTAAGCATGTATTCGTGTCTTTCTTCTAGCACGTATGTATGTATGAGATATGAATTTGCACCATTTTCTTTTTCTTGGAAGCAATCTCGTATACTGGCGAGCACGATTAGCGAAGCACGCCAGCAAGTAGGTAAACACGCTCAAAACCGTCAATATACTAGCAAGTTCGTGCATGAAGCTGACCAATTGTACAGGCATTAATATTTTCCCAACCATACGACAGAGGGATACATAAGAATCATTGACCACATACAATCATTTCGAAAATGAGTTCTGAAATGGCGTAAATCTGTACACAGACAAATACACGAGTATACGTTTATCATTTTTGCGCTGAAGCACAGTCAAACGACACACCCGTGAACTTCATATCTAAGTTGGTTATCGCGGTCTTTTGGAAAATATAAACGTAAACATATACTGTACGCACGGAATTAAATTCCCATCGACCCATCCTATTCAATTTTAAAATTGCAAAGGTGTCTCATAGTCAAACGAGACTGCTATAGGGTCACACGTCCACACTGGACGTCTTGGTAGCGAAAATTCCTCCCACATAGGTATATAAATACATAATTGTATACATACACAAGAATTTTCCGTGGTAGTGTATACTGTGTACATAAAAACTTCTTGACATACATTGATTCTTTTGACTCTCGAGAAAATGAACGACTATTGAAGAGAAACTTACAGAGTCGCATGTCTCGAGCCGGATGTCGTGGTCGCTGAAGAACTTGTAAATGTCTGGAGTCAGCTTTCTATTTTGATCCCCAAGGCCTAGAACAACAATTTCTGACACGACAAAAATATGAAGGTTGAAGACAGTGCCGAGTTGGTACAACGATCACGCTATATTGTAGACTTAATGCTTGCTCAATATCGGCGACTCCAATTACGCTTGTGCAATTCATGTAAAAATAAGATAGTATGTGTACTCACAAAAGTATCAACAGACCACACACTTCTACTGATACGTGACCATACGTGGCCTGCGCATAAAGTTTCTATTGTAATAAAATAGAGCACATGCGTACACTGTCGCTACACATATAGAGTGGTATGTATTTTTGCGACCCTTACAGAGACATACCCGGTTTGGGGTGTGTGAGCGTGAATATCTTGCAGGCTTCAGGTGTGATGTCCTTATATGTTTTTACATTCCAAAGTAGAGTATGCTTCGGAAATAGAACACACGGACCGTATAAGAAGCGGTCGTTCACTCGAAAGCCCTTACTGTTATATCTGTTCGGGTATTACAAGAAGTACATTAGAAGTTGCCACCATGGTGGCAGGTAGGACAACACGATACGTGTATATGTGTTGCAAGTGCATAAAACTGGTAAGTGTTGCCTTTTCTTTCTTCCGGGGTTGCACACAGATAGTCTTGCCTAAACTATGTGTACGTGTGCGTGGTCACTTGCCCGGATTTCAGTACTGGTGACGAACAGGGCAAGATCCTGTTAACTGGGACTTAATATTCCATCTCAAATTCTTCTAAATGGCACCTCAGTTACACGAATGACAAGGCTAAAAAAATAAGTACACAGAAGGGCTCAGTTAATATCCAGACTTTCACGACAAGATGCACATACTTGTAGACCCAAGTCTGCCTTAACTCCTCCCCTGTGCCCATCATAGTACCGTGGTTTGTCGGATTCGAATACGCTCGACATACTCGCATAAGGACCCCTTGCCGTGAACAAAACGCGTTCCGTGTGCTCTGAAATATGCTCATAATCGTACGTTCTGAAGCTGTAAGTGTATCTGACTATGTTTACTGTGTAGTGTGTATCCAATCCTTAACAACTACTTCATATAAATTATAAAAGCACAAAATTGACCACTGTCATCAGACGGTCAGGGTCGTGTATTATTTTATATATATTTATTTATATATTTACTATTTTGTAGTTACGTGTGCTAAGCCGGTATAAATACAAGTACTGTGTGTACATGAATTAATCGCATCACACAACATACGGATACGCCATGACGTCGTGTGCATTCGACACCCTAGTTAGCGTACGCGCTCTGCGGTGTTAGATAAACTGTGGTGTGCATACGCCCTTCACTGCAGCTTTCATATTTTTCCCCTCCAAAATCAGGCACGACCCCATAAAGGTATTCTTTCGTGGTGAGAACACATAAATGGATACACGCGTCCGTGTTATAACATAAAGAGGTGCACAACCGTGGTTATAAACTATAGTGGTGTACAACCGTGCTCTCAACACAAAAACATTTCTCGTTATAACACGTTGAGGTATACAACTGTGCAGCATAGAGGTATTAACCCTAATAAATACGACACATAGGTGTACAATTACAAGTCACAGTCTCTACATACATTCGTAGTTATAACACATTGAGGTAATATCTATTCATTATAATTACACCATGAGCACGCCGTACGGAAGTATGGCTCCTGCAGGCCCAGAGCATCAGCAGATACTCTTCGACATGGCTGAGTACTTCGAATCAGGCCAACACTACACTCAAGTGGCACAGTGTCTGGAAGCAGGCCTTCTAGTACCGTGTGCACCGCGTGTGGAGATGTGCGCTCAAATGCGCCTGGGCAAGCTGTATGCCAGGTACGCTGAAGATAGCGCGGACCGGGCGCTGGACGCGCTCCAACGCGCGTGGTTGCTTGCCGGGTGTGTTTCGGGTATGGATGATGTAAAGGCAGATGTACTGTGCACGCTGTGTGAGGTGCTCGTACGCGTAGGTGATACGCATCAAGCCACAAGTAGACTGAGAGCGGCCCTGGCAGTGTGCCCACCTGTGCATACGAGCGCGTATTTCCGCATGACTCTATTGCTGGTGCGTGTGAAAGGCGAACAGGGAGATATGGACGGTGCTTTGAGTCTCATAGGCGGCGCAAAATTGAGTGCCATGTCTGCCGGGTTGGCAGAGATTGAGCTGTTGCTGAGCTTCTCTGAGGTGCACATTGCACTCACGGCTGGAAATCTCACCGCAACAAAAGCCTTGTTACAGCCCATCCAGCAACGATTAGGAGAATTCGAGCAGAAGCACGCGCAAGACAAGCAGGCACGCGTGGAGAGCATACCGTGGTTGGTGGTGAGTCATACCCACTACTCGTTGCTAAAGGCAACTTATATGCTGCAGTCGGCGTCCTACGAAGATGCAGTGAAGACCTTAGCGGCGCTGCAGAACAAGTATGGCTTGCGGCATTTGTTTGTACGAGAAAATGATGTTGGAAATTGGGCAACATAATCTGAGATTGACTTTACTGAAGTGCAGTTCACATATATTAGTATACAGTGTACATGCAACAGCTTGTATGTGTTGGCATTTGCCAGCAGTGTCGTACGCTTGTTGGACTTCAAATGGTGATGGTTACTCAGGGATACGAGATAGTGACGGGACCCATGTCGTATGTATTGCTGCACAAGCGTACGGGTCTGTATTTCTTACTTTTGGTCGCGCAAAATCACCTGAATTGAACGTATATGTTTCTACAGCTCATCCACTCACAATTAAGCACGTAGAGTTAGGCGTTCGAGGCAAGAGCATTCGCAAGTATTTTGATAACGTGTACTTTAACAATGCATTACACACTATTAAGGGGCATGTGGGTATTCATAAGCAATCATATTCGGGTATGCATCTATACACATTCTTGGATCCAATTGAGTAACTAAACAAAGCGGCTAGTCTTTTATATCAAAACATATACGTTTTCATGCATAAACATATTCACCTACATTAAC